GAAAAGTGAATTTACTCTGTAAATCTTCACCCAAATCCTAATAAATAAAATAAATAAATAAAAATAAATAAATAAATTCCAGTTGAGGCAGAAGAAAATTAAATCAAGTCCACGAGAGCCAAAATATGACATTGATTATACCCCAACTGAATTTGGAGACCACCTGAGGAATAGATTTGACACATTGAACACCAGTGACCAAAGACCAGATGAGTTATGGGATGGCATTAAGAACATCATACATGAAGAAAGCAAAGGTCATTTAAAAGACAAGAAAGGAAGAAAAGACAAAATGGATGTCAGAAGAGACTCTGAAACTTACTCTTGAATGTAGGGTAGGAAAGTGAATGTAAGAAATGATGAAGTAAAAGAGCTGAACAGAGGACTTCAAAGGGCACCTCAAGAAAATGAAGTAAAGAATTATAATGAAATATGCACAGAATTGGAGTTAGGAAACCCAAAAGGAGAATACGTTTGGCATTTCTTGAGCTAAAAGAACTGGAGAAAAAATTCAAGCCTCCAGTTGCAATATTGAAGCATTCTGTGGGCACAATTGTGAACAACATAGGAAGCAGCATCAAAAGAAGATGGAAGTAATACACAGACTCACTGTTCCCAAAAGAATTGGTCAACATTCAGTCATTTCAGGAAGTAGTATATGATCAAGAACCAATGGTAATGAAAAAAGAACTTCAAACTACACTAAAGGCATTGGCAAAAAACAAGCTTCCAGGAATTGACAGAATACCAATTGAGATGTTTCAATAAATGAATGCAATGCTGGAAGCACTTATCAATGCCAAGAAATTTGGAAGACAGCCACTTAGCCAACCAACTGGAGGAGATACATATTTGTGCCCATTCTAAAGAAAAGTAATCCAACAGAATGTGGAAATTATCATGCAATATCATTAATATCACATGCAAGTAAAATTTTGCTGAAAATAATTCAAAACCAGTTGTAACAGTACATTGACAAGGAACTGCCAAAAAGTCAAGCTAGATTCAGAAGAGGATGTGGAACAAGGAATATCATTGCTGGTGTCAGAGGGACCTTATCTAAAAGCAGAGAATACCAGAAAGATATTTACCTTTGTTTTATTGACAGTGCAAAGACCTTGGACTGTGTGGATCATAACAAATTATGGTAACATTGTGAAGAATGAGAATTCTAGAACACTCAATTGTGCTGATAAACCAAGAGGCAGTCATTCAAACAGAACAAGGGGACACTACATAGTTTAAAATCAGAAAAGGTGTGTGTGAGAGTTGTATCCTTTCACCATACTTATTCAATCTCTATGCTGGCAGATGATCTGAGAAGCTGGACTATATTAAGAAGAATGCAGCATCAAGATTGGAGGAAGATTCATTAGCAACCTGAGATATGCAGATGACACAACCTTGCTTGCTGAAAGTGAAGATGACTTGAAGGACTTACTGATGGAGATCAAAGACTCCAGTATGGATTACACATGAAGAAGATAAAAATCCTCACAACTGGACAAATAAACAACATCATGATAAATGGAGAAAATATTAAAGTTGTCAAGGATTTCATTTTACTTGGATCCACAATCAACACCCATGAAAGCAGCAATCAGGAAATCAAAGGATGTATTGCATTGTGCAAATCTGCTGCAAAAGACCTCTTTAAAGTGTTAAAGAGGGAAGATGTCACTTTGAAGACTAAGGTGCACCTGATCTAAGCCATTGTATTTTCAGTTACCTCATATGCATGAGAAAGCTGGACAACAAATAAAGAAAACCAAAGAATGATTGGTGATTTGAATTATGGTGTTGGCGAAGAATATTAAATATACCATTGCCTGCCAGAAGAACAAACAAATCTGTCTTGGATGAAGTATAGCCTGAATGCTCCTTGGAAGCAAGGATGGTGAGACTTTACGTCTTGTACTTTGGTGATGTCTGGAGGGACTAGTCCCTGGAGAAAGATACCATGCTTGGTAGAGTGGATGGTTAGCAAAAAAGAAGAAGACCCTCAACAAGATGTCTGCACAGTGGCTGCAGCAATGGGCTCAGGCATAGCCACGATTGTGAGGATGGTGCAGGATGGGTAGGGTTGCATTCTATTGTAAATAGGGTTGCTGTGAGTCAGACCGACTGAACAGCACCTAACAACAACACCTTTGCCTTTTTCGCAATCTATTTTAGAGGTCTTTTTGATTAGCACATTCAGATCCTCCTCATTCTTTTTCATCCTACTTTTAGATCCCATTTAGAAGAAACTCTCACTCATCTTGACCATCTTGAGTTTCTGTTGGTCTCCCTTTCCTTGCCATTGTTGTGATGCTATAAGAGTGTGGTGTAATGGCAGTACTAATAAGGTTCTTCTGTGTAGAAGATGTCTTGTGCAGAAGAACCTGAAATGTTGTTTTATTTATTTATTTATTTAAATAACCATTCTTCATAATAAAAGTTGTAATTAGAATCATTTTAACCCCTTACTTTTTACTCCACTGCTGGGTTTCCAGGCATGGTATTTTACTCCATATCTGATGTGACTGACAAGCTACTCAGCACTTCTGGAGACCCCCTCCCCACGCTCCAAGAAGACTTCTGGATAAGCAGCACCCCAGTGGAGCCCACTGCTCCCTTGAAAGAAGTTCTGGAAGACCTGAGCCCGCCTGCCATGGCTGCCTTTGACCTAGCTTGCTCTCAGTGCCAGCTCTGGAAAACATGCAAACAACTCTTGGAAACAGCTGAACGGCGTCTGAACAATAGCCTGGAAAGCCGGGGTGAGTGTGCTGCCTTAGCTTTGTCCCTTGGTCCTCAAATGAGGAAATGCATTTCCAAGAGACTTGACAAACTACATGAGAAGAAAAGTTAAGGAGAATGGGAGAAAGACTATTAGTTAAATGTCTTCAAATCTAATCTCATGACAACTGCAGTGTGTGTTGAAAGTCTCACCTTCTTAATAGACAGCAATCTGAAGTCATTTAGGGAAGTTCTTTTCTGGTTTATAGATAAATTGAAGGAAGAAATATATATTCAGATATTATATAAATGGAATTTGTGCACCTAGACTACATGCCCCCTCCTGAGTGGAGCCCACTTAACCTAAAACCTGGGATGATCTTGGAAAACTGAGTGGTCACTGTTGGAGGGAGAATGATACCTTGAAATTAATAATCTCCCACAATGCCTTACGAGTGTCTGAAGATAGAATGAAGCAAAGTTCTAATCCCAACCCATCCTTGATACATGTGCCAAACATTGGAAGCATCTGACTAGTAAGAAAGAAAGGCACGTACTCTGCTTCAGTAATATGGAGGTGGGGATGGGGTTATAGTGAATAAGCTGTGAGGTTGTGATATGAGTAGCCTATTCTGTCAGGGTTATTTTAAGCAGGAGGTGGCCTATGTAATCAGATAACTATAGTGCTTCTTGTGTGCTGGGCACTGAATAAGCACTTTCTACATAGTCTATCATTTGATACTCAACAATACCCCTATGTGGAAGTGATTATTATTATCCCCATTTTTTAGATGAGGAAACTAAGGCACAGAGAGGTTAAGTAACTTGCCCAAGGTCACAAAACAAGGATTGGACACAGCTAGGATTCAAACCCAGGCAGTTTGACTTCAATGGTTGCATTCTGAACCTGCTGAGTTCAATAAGCTCCATGATTTTTTAGGATGACTCAAAGGACTCAGCATATGGTGGTACTCACAACTAAGATCTATTACAGTGCAAAGATGCAAAGCAAAATCAGCAAAGGAAAAAGGCTCATGGGGCAAAATCCAGAAGAAACCAGGCATAAGCTTCCAAGAGTCCTCTCCCAGTAGGGTCACACAGGATGCACTTAATTCCTTCAGCACTGAACTGTGACAACACACGTGAAGTGTTCACCAGGAAAGCTCATTGGAGACTCATTGCCCAAGGTTTTTTTAATCAAAGACTGATCACATAAGCACCTTCTGCCTAGCAAGTACCAAAATTCCAGAATGCAAGCAATTGTTTAGCTTAAACCACATTGTTTGTACAAATGTTTAGGCACAGTGAGTCACTTTATCATTTAGGGAAACTTCTAGATCAGCATAGGGAACTATTTACTAGTCAAGTTCCCAGACATCAGTCTTAAAACCAGGCTTTTCTCAGGATAGCTGTGTAAACTCTTCACTGCATATCCCCTCAAATCACTTCTGAGCAGTTGGTTAAAATGTCCTTTAATGTTTACATCCAAAAAAACAAACCCACTGCCATTGAGTCGATTCTGACTCATAGCAACCCACATTGGGTTTCCAAAGCAGTAAATCTTTACAGAAGTAGATAGTCCTGTCTTCCTTCTGCAGGGCAGCTAGCAGGTTTGAACTGCCAACCTTCTGGTTAGCAGTCAAATGCCTTAGGCACTACGTCACCAGAGCTCCTTAATGTTTACATAGTCCTTCTAAAAAAGTAGACTGTGGCATATACAATGCTGTTTTAGTCCCACAATATCCCTCCGTCTCACCTAGTACTTATATTCTATAACAGAGGGAGATATTATTCAAGCTGTTGATAGCTGAAACAGTGTCATGTCAATCAATTAGAAATTTATTACCTAATTACCTTATTTATTACCTGCCTTACTTACCTGTGATGCTCTGGTAGTGTAGTGGTTAAAGCATTTGGCTGCTAGCCAAAAGGTTGGCAGTTTGAACTCAGTGGGAGAAAGATGAGGCTGTCTGCTTCCGTAAAGATTTACAGCCTTAGAAACCCTACAAGGCAGTTCTGCTCTGTCCTGTAGAGTCGCTCTTTGTTGGACACGATGGCCGTGGTCTTAGTTACCTACTGCTGCCATAGTAGAAATACCACAATTGGGTAATTTCAAATAACAGAAAAATTTTTTTCGCAGTTCCAGAGGCTAGAAGTCCAAATCAGGGTTTCAGCTGTATCACTTTGTTCTCGGAACCTCTCCCCTAGCTTATATCTGTGGGCAATCCTTGGCATTCCATTGCCTGTAGATGGGACTTCAGATGACATCTGTCTTCCTGCTGGATGTGTGTCTCTGTGTCTATTTTGTTCTCTTTATAAGACACCATTGAGAAGTGATTAGGTTTTAACATAAGAAAAGAAAAATCCTATTTCCAAATAGGATTTTGTCCACAGCTATAGGAGCCTTCCACCCGTATTTTTTGGAGATATAATTTAATCCATAGCAAGTGTCTACTGTGTTTCCATATTATCTCAGGCATCTGAGGGTATAGGACAGATATGAGGACTAATTCCTCCTTACGAAGTTGTCTATAGTCTAGTCAGGGAGTTCTGGTGGCGTAGTGGTTAAAATATACGGCTGCTAATGAAAATGTTGGCAGTTTAAACTCACCAGCCACTCCGTGGAAGAAAGATGAGGCAGTCTGCTTCTGTAAAGGTTTACAGCCTTGGAAACCCTAGAGAGCAGTTCTCCTCTGCCCTAAAGGGTCTCTGCGAATCTGAATTGACTCAGTGGCTGTAGGTGTGGTTTAGATTGATATAGTGTAGTCAGGATATCCAGGTATCACTTAAAGAATTAAGGAAGACAGAAATAGCTCAAGTTCATTGCTGAAGGCAGTACTAAAACAAATCTGCAAGAAGTGTCGAATTAGCTTGGGGCAGCAATTCCACTGGCGTGCAGGGGCTACTGGGTCTGCTGCTGTTGACAGCTGAGGCATCTTGCTGAAGCTGGCCCTGCAACCTCAGGCATGAAATAAACCAGGTATGCTCATTGCCACCCAAATGGCACAGCATATATTTCTTCCTCAGTATCGGAGAAGGTAAAATCACACAAGTAAATACTGAGTTTCAGTCTCCAAAAGTACCTTCTTCTACATTTCCCCTTTCTTCATCTGTTGCCAGGTCGACGGCTGGACCACGTGCTCCTCAACACTGATGGCATTCGAGGATTTCCAGGTGTTCTTCAGCAAATCAGTAAGATTTTCAACTATCCACTCTTGTCAGCAGGACAAACTAAATCAGGTGAGTGTCTTTTCTCCCTTTTATCTTCATCTGGGGTTAGAGCATTTGGACAGCATCGGGCTTCACTTTTTCTTTCTTGTTTGCTTTCCATAGAGACTGTGGAAGAAAAAGGAGGGCTCTCACGGTACAGCATCACTGAGCTTCTCCAGATGTGCTGGCCCAGCCTCACTGAGGACTGTGTTGCCAGCCAAGTCACCCTCTCCCAGCAGCTCGAGCAGGTCCTTCAGTCGCTGAGAGAGGCACTAGAGCTGCCTGGTATGGGGCCCCATGCACTCAGGAGCATATGAAAGCTAATCTGGGGAGAGGAAGCAGCTAGAGTGGAGGAGCGCTTCGGAGCACAGGCTTAGGATTCCAGAACGGGGCTCTACCCATCCTGTAGGTAGCCAGGGCATGTTTCATAGCTAACTCCACATCTGCTTCCTTGCCTCTCAGGGGAAAGGATGATTCATACTCCATTAGCCAATATAGTTTTCTCATTCCTAATGAGAAATACACTGAGCAAATGCTCAGTAAATATTGATCAACCCTTCCCAAAAGATTGCTGGGATCTTCATAAAGTCTGTTTCACCCCAGAGACACTGAGTCAAAGCAGAACCGTTGTTGGGTGCCATCAAGGTGATTCTAACTCATAGCAAGCCCATGTGACAGAGTAAAGCTACCCTATAGCATTTCCTAGGCTGTAATCTATGGGAGCAGATCACCAGAGCCTCTGGATGGGTTCAAACTGCCAACCTTTAGGTTAGTAGCCGAGCACTTAACCTTTGTGTCACCGGGCTTCTTGAAAGCAGAACTATGCACCCAGATTTCTCCAGATTCAGCTATTCCCAGCTGAGAATTGCTTGCATATTAGGATGTTACCTTTGCCTTGTAAGTAGAGCACTCAAGCTATAGGATGCCCCCATGCAAAGTACCAAGGCCCAGTTCAGATGTTGTTTTAGAAACTGACCCAAAGCTGGATGCACAGACTAAAGCCTGCATCCATTCTCCCTCTCAGAGGCCAAGTGTACCCCACTCTCCTCCCTGGTGGAGCAGGCGTCCCAGAAAGCTCCAGAAGCAGAAGCCCACCCTGTGTACATCCAGACCCAGCTCCTCCAGAAGAATCTAGACAAACAGACCCCAGCAGGTGGCAGGCAGGCTGACTACATGGGCACCTTCCTCAGTTACTGCAACACCCTGGCAGCGGTTCTCCTGCGCAGTTTGAGCTCTGAGCCTGGTAAGTAGCAAGAAGGAAGAGATGGAGTCATGCTGGCCTGCCTGTTTTAGGGGACGGGTTTAGTGCAAGGAAGAGGCAAGGTGCTAGATGAAGCGGTTTTAGGAATAGCACTAACCAGGGACACTTGATTTGTAAGATTCTCCCCCTTTTCATCTTTGTCTATTTTATGTAACTTTGTTTCTCCAGTGCCTAGCACAGTTGTCCAGCATATAGGGGGAGCTGAATATATTTTGATGGCACTTATAACACAAAAATATCTCTCTCACATCTTCAGTCCAAGTCTTCAGTCAAAAATCACTCTCTCACCCCTCAGTCTTGCTGAGCAAGAGACCTTTCTGTAGAGAGATAGGGACAAGTCTCCCAAATATGTTTGTTGTTGTTGTTGTTGTTATGTGCCATCGAGTCAGACCTGACTCATAACGACCCCTCCTTGGATTTCTGAGGCAGTATCACTATGGAAGTAGATTGCCCCATCTTCCTTCCGAGGAGTGGCTGGTGGGTTTGAACCGCCAGCCTTCTGGTTAGCAGTCAAGTGCCTTAGGCGCTACGCTACCAGAGCTCCCATTGTGTTATTAAATGAAAAAGCAAGGGACAGAGCAGTGTGTCTGAAGACCTTCAGAGGAATCAAGTATCTGCCATGCGTATCAGACTCTTACGTGAATTCCCAGAGTGAGTGCTACGTGTGCATCAGTCAGGTTGAAGGGAGCAGGAGTGAACTGTTTGTGGCTGCAGTGGCCCACTGACGTTCATCTGTAGTGGGAAGTTTTTAGAGCAGTGGTAAGGTATAGATGAACTTGTGGTCAGGGTCATGTTGAGAATACCCTTTACCTAGAATGAATCAGAGATGGGCTGTCAGTGTTGTCTTCCTTTTGACACCATTCTTTTTTTTTTTTTTTTGATTCTGGAAAACATGGCTTTGAACTGTTGTGGTCGGTGATATAACCATAGGTCACTTCTTTACCTTTGCAGATCATGTGGCGGTCAAGGTAGGAAATCCCTTTGTTCTCCTGCAGCAGAGCTCTTCCCAACTGGTGTCACACCTCCTGCTTGAGAGACAAGTTCCCCCAGACAGGTAGGAGCCACCCCTGTGGGAGTCACTAGGTGTTTTCCATGTTGTTCCATCAAAGACACCAAAGCCTCAGTGGGCTGATGCTTGGGTGGGGTTTCTTCCAGAATTTGCCCTTACTGTGCATTTAGTCTTACATAGCTGTGTGAAACTTCAGTGTGCCTAGTTTCCCTCTCTCTGTCTCTCTCACCACTTCTAACATTTTTATTATGACCTCCTTTCTAGCAAAAATCCAAAAGTTTGATAACACATTAACTGGCTAGGCTGTAGGAAAACAAGCATCCTCATGGATTGCTGGTGGGACATAAATTGATACAGCACCTGTGGAAAGGCAGCTTGTTAATATCTACCCACCAGCCACTCCTTGGAAGGAAGTTTGGGCAATCTGCTTCCATAGAGATACTGCCTCGGAACCCCAAGGAAGGGTCGCTATGAGTCAGAAACGACTCAATGGCAGTGAGTTTGGGTTTTATTTTTTTTATTATTAAAATTATAAATTCATAGATTCTTTGACCTAATCGTCTACTTTTGGAAATTTATCCTGCAGCTTTATTATGCATATGGAAAATGATATATATAGACAAAGTTGTTTTGTTACAGCTTTGTGTGCAATAGCAAAAGATTAGAAAAATCCATTGTTCATTAATTAGAGATGAGTTAATTAGGGGTCATCCACATAGTACAATACTATATAACTGTAAAAAGGAGCAAGAGATCTTTCTGTAGAGAGATATGGACAAGTCTCCCAGATATGTTATTATGTTATTAAGTGAAAAATCAAGGGACAGTGTCTAATAGACTATGTTTTGTGTTTAAAAATAAAAAGAGAAAGGAATGTTAAGAGCCTGCTTTTACATTTGCTTATGCACATAAAGGAACTCTGAACAAGTACACAGGCTTGTGTAATGGTGCCGATACACCCAGGCCCTGCATGCCCTCTGTTCTCTCCCTTTAGACTGGCAGCCCTTCTGGCCCTGGAGGGTCTCAGCCTGAGTGTACCACAGGTTATCATCAACTGCTGCTGTGAGCCTCTCGCCCTGTGCTCTTCCCAGCGGAGGCAGCAGACATCATCCCTTCTGACCCACCTGGGCATCCTGGCCCACCAGCACTGCTTGGATTGCCTCCCGCTTTCTACGCTGAGCTTTCCAAGGCCAACTGAGGATACCACTTTGGAGAGAAAGCCCTGCTTCTCCCCAAGGGATACATCACCCGCAGCCCTCACCTCCTCTGCCTTGGCCTTCCTGAAGTCCCGTTCAAAGCTGCTGGCTACTGTAGCCTGCCTGGGGGCCTCCCAGGGGACAAAGGCCACTAAACCCAGCTTGTCATGGAAGGAGCTTCGTGGCCGCAGGGAGGTGCCTCTGACCACAGAGCAGGTAGCCCGGGAGTGTGAGCGCCTCCTGGAGCAGTTCCCTACACTTGAGGCCTCCTTCCTGGCTGCCTGGACACCCCTCCAAGACTCCTCCAAGCAGGGGCAGAGTCTGGCAGCAAGTCTCTGTGGTCAGGCCAGTTTCTCGACTGTCCTTCTGGGCCTGCATTCTCCCATTGCCCTAGATGTCCTGACTGAGGCCTTCAAGGAAGCACTGGTGGCCCGAGATTGGCTCCGGGCCCTTCAGCTTGTTGATGAGTATGGGCGAGACATGGAGGAGTTGAACAGCATAAAGGATGCAGTCCTGAGCTGTGCCGCAGCATGTGGTAAGCAAAAGCTGTACTTTCCTTTCTGTGTTGTTGTTGTTGTTATGTGACGTCGAGTCAGACCCAACTCATAGTGACCCCTCCTTGGGTTTCCAAGGCAGTATTACTACAGAAGTAGATTGCCCAACCTTCCTTCCGAGGAGTGGCTGGTGGGTTTGAACCGCCAGCCTTCTGGTTAGCAGTCAAATGCTTTAGGCACTACAGCCAGAGCTCCTTTCTGTAGTGCTGATAATAATATTGAGCACTTACCCAGTGTTTGCCATGTGTAGGCACTGAGCTAGGTGCTTCACATGCTTGGTCTCACGTAATCCTCAAAACAGCTCTAGAGAGCTGAGATGAGTCCAAGGCTCAGAGAGGTTAGGCAACTTGCACAGGATAGCAAGTGCTGAAGCAGAGCTGAGAACCAAAGTTTATGTGACTTCAGAGTAGGCACTTATAACCACTATTTCTGATACCTATGTATCAGAATCACTGTGAAATTTTTAAAGCTACAAATATCTGGGCTATACCCCCAGAGGCCCTAGGTGGGGTTCAAGCAAGTGTTTATTTTAAAATGGGTGTCAGGAGTGGCATCACTAGGAGGGTGTGGCACCCCCTAACACTGTCAGAGGGGTGACACCAAAATGACCTGAGGGTTCACAGCAGTGGTGGCAGCAGCAGCAACCCCCATCACCCACCAGTCAGGGTGCATGAGGGTGGGTGGGCCCTGGCACCCACCCATGAAGAAGGTCTCCTCCTCGGCTAGTGGGAAATGGAAGAACCTGCAGAGAGCAGCAGGGAGCAGAGCAGAGTGGGCTGCTCCACTCAGCAGTGGTGAGGAAGGGTGGTTTACGCCATGAGTTGCCATACTAGGTGATACCAACCCTGGTGATGCCAGTGGGTGTCAGCAAACTCTGTAAAGAGCTTTGCAGGCCATACAGTCTCAGTCATGACTACACAGCTCTGACATTATAGTGTGAAAGCAGCCATAGACAGTGCATAAACAAATGGGTATGGCTATGTTCCAATAAAACGTTATTTATAAAACCAGTCAGTAGACCTGTTTGATGACCCCTGCTTATAGAGCACTCCAGGAGAGTTTGTGTGTAGCTAGAGTTGAAAGCTAATGATCTCCAGCACACCATTGAGGGAACAAGAGTCCATGCATGCTATAAACCCAAACCAAACCCACTGCCATCGAGTAGATTCTGTCTCACAGCACCCCCCACAGAGTTGTGATGGCTGCAAATCTTTACAGAAGCAGACTGCCTCATCTTTCTCCCATGGAGCAGCTGGTAGGTTGGAACTACGGGCCTTTTGGTTAGCAGCTGAATGCTTTAACCACTATACCACTAGAGCTCCTTAGGCATGTTGTCGGGAATGGCTTATCGATAGGAAAATTGGTACAGTTTGGAAAGGTGACAGTTCCTTGTGTGATCTTAATTGCTTGGAGTCTGTTTTTCAGATTGGTGAAATGTGTCAGCAAGAGAGATCTACTAAGTAATAATGACAGAGGATATCCAGGGATATAACTTTCAAGTAGTGGAATGGAAATGGCAGGGAAAACTAAAAGTTCCACTGATAAGTTGAGCCTGAAACAGTGCTGTATGTGCAGCATGGCAAAACTTGGAAGGCTTCACTGTTTCCTGCCTTTTCTTTCTCCTTTCTTCCTACTTATCTTCCTTCCTTCTTTTCCTTCCTTCCTTTTTCTTTTTCCCCTTCCATCCCTCCTTCCTTGCTGAAAGTCCTATGACTATGATCAGGTTTGCATCAAGGGAAACATAGGGTATATCATTTTTCGTTGTACCTAAGGCTTACTAGTGTAAAACTTAAGAATCCTCCAAGTTCCTGCTTTAGGAAATTGAACAAAACTCTTTTCTTTAGAAATAACCTGGACTCTTGAAGTCTTCCAGTACCAGGCTTGCTGTCTCTGGGCACTTTTTTGTCTTATAGACAAAGAAGGTTGGCAATTCCTGTTTGCTGTGAAGGATACATCTCTGAGAAGTCAGCTGACCCTACAGTTAGTGGACAGGTGGCCCTTGGAGTCATGCCTGGAGATCCTGGCCTACTGCATTTCAGACCCCAGTGTCCAGGAAGGACTGAAGTGTGAGCTGCAGAGAAAGTTGGTGGAGCTACGGGTGTATCAGAAGGTATCCTTCCTGGCATCAAGAGAAAAGAAATAGGCTTCTCCCCCTGTTGGCAAATCCAGCCTATTCTCAGATGATGGGAGATTTTAAGAAACACAAAACATACGTTTGGCTTTTGTTCTGCATCTGGTTTCTGTTCCTAAACTAACAGCAAGGTGGCTTTCTATCTGGTTCCTGGCTTATGTCAGCCTTTCATTTTAAGGAAGAATGTTTTATTTACTCCTATAATTTTAAATACATGTGCATCAAGCAAGGATAAAAATAATAACACAGATAACATTGGAATGGTGCTTCACAGTCCACAAAGGCTTTTTCCCATGGTATATTTGACCCTTGTGTATGTTTTAATTATGCTATGTCCTTTTTAAAGAATGTCCATTTTGAAAGGGTACATGAAAATGACAGTTTCAAAAAAGAAATATTCTTGTGGGATGTGTATTATATTCAAAGTCAGGAAGTTTAAGGAGGCTCATTTAGGAGTACAGCTACATAACAAATATATAATGTTATGTATAAAATGTATATTAATTATTCCGCCTGTATGTAGATGAGTCAAGAGCTCCACAAGGAAAGTGAAAGTGGCAGGGGAGGAGGACTGTCCTTTCACTTCAGCCCTTTTCGTGAAGAGCTGAAATGCCGCATGCGTGCAAGGGGATCCTGCAGAGCCTTCAGGCCAAAAGAGTATCTTGGGTAAAGTTTTGAGATGAAGGAACAGCAGACAGTAACTCCAGAAGATTTGAACAAAGTGGGAGTCACAGGAGCCTGCAAGAATTGTCCTAACAAGTGAAAAGCCCCAATGCTAGCCTCCCCACCCAGCTGTTGCTGGTCGTACCTTTAGGATAGGTTATCTGTCACGGGGGTGAGGGATTCATGCTCCTCTCCAAACATGTTCCCCCTTTGCTCTAATTCCTCGTCTTTCCTGCCAAGCTCTGATTTTGGGCAGAGATCTAGGGAAGGCTCATTCTTGGAGAGCCCAATGACTTGTTCGTGGAGGAGAAACTACAGTACAGTTCAATAGATCTTTCTGTGTTTCCTTAGATTCTAGCTTTGCAGCCTACGCCATTGTGGTGTGACTGGCAGACTCTGAGGAGCTGTTGTGTTGAGGACCCATCAACTGTCATGAACATGATTCTAGAAGCAAAGGTACCATTTTCCTGGGTGGTATTCTCCTTTATCCTCTTTTCAGAGTTGCAGCTTCTCAGCTGGTTGTGTTGTCCCCTTCCATGTTATCAATGTCCATATAAATTCCTTATAACTCTGCCTTGTTCTTTCTTTCTTTGTTTTTTAATATTTTATTGTGTTTTCAGTGAAGGTTTACACAGCAGTTTAGGTTCCTCTTCAATTATTTCTACACAAGTTATTCAGTGACATTGGTTACATTCTTTACAGTACAAGAATTTTCTCATTCTCTTCAGTCTGGTTGTTCCATTTCCATTAGTTTCCCTACCTTCTTACATTCTCATCTTTGCGTTAAAGTAATTCTTGACTGTTTCGCCTCATGTTGTTGTTATGTGCCATCAAGTCAGACCCGACTCATAATGACCCCTCCTTGGGTTTCCGAGGCAGTATCACTGCAGAAGTAGATTGCCCAACCTTCCTCCCGAGGTTTTGCCTCATAGAGGTGGTTTTTTTTAAAGGAGCACAGTACTTACAGGTGATACTCATTATTTTTTGAGCCAGTTTGTTTCTTAGCTACAAGGTGATCTAAGGGGTTAGTTTCCCCTCAAGGTTTGAAGAGTATCTCAGGGAAATAGTCTTGGGGAGTGCCTCAGTCTCAACCAATCCAGTATGTCTGGTTTGGTTTAGTTTAGTGGGTTTTTTTAATGAACTGTAGGTTCTGTTCCACATTATTGTGGCCCTGATTAGAACAATCAGTGGTGGTAGCTGGACACCATCTAGTTCTTCTGGTCTCGGGATAAGTGAGGCTGTGGTTCAGATAGACTATTTGTCCTGTTGCCACATTCTCTTTTTGTTTTTTTTTAATTGTGAAATTTACTAACATAGAAAGAAGTATAGAAAATAATATAATTCATGTTTTCACCACCATAAAAGAAAAAGAGAGAATAATATAATTGGCTTTTTTGTACCTTCACCAACTTTTTCACATCTTAACGTTATGCAGTATTTGCCACAGATACTGACTTTTTAAAATTACAGTCTCTAAGGGCCTCTAGTGTATGTCTTCCCAACCCCATTCTCCTTCTTTCTTCCCCAAATATTATAACCATTATCCTAAATTTGGCATTTATAGTCACATACATGTTTTCATACTTAGGTCACATATTTATATACCTTGTATATAATATAGAGTAGTGTATTTCAGGTTTTCAAACTGGATATTTCATTTATGTGTCTTTTTGAGATTTATCCATGTTGTTTATGCTATGTCTTTCCAACTCACTCATTTCATCTGCTTCCATTTATTGTATGGAAATACTACACACTATTTATTCAGGCTCCTGTTGGTGGACATGTAGGTTGTTTACAGTTTTTCACTGTCTAAAGAGGGCTATGTCAAACCTTGTTAACGCAGTGCCTTGTGTTCATAGGTGAGATTTTTTACACTGTGTGCACGAGGCACAGAGTACACACCTAGAGTGGATTTCTATGTCATCAAACATGAGCATCTTCGGCTTTCCTAAGATGTTACCAACTGCTGTTCAAATTGCTTTTCCCAATTTTACTCCTCCCCCAGAGTTTGCATTGCTCCATATCCTTGCCAACTTTTGGTATTTTTCAGCTTTTCACTTTTTGCCAATAGGATGGAATCTCATTGAGGTTTTAATTTATATTTCCGTGATTTACTAATGAATTTTAACATCTTTCCACATGGTTATTGACCATTAGAAGAGTCCCAGGGTGACACAGTTAAGCATTTGGTTTCTAATCCAAAGGTTGGCAGTTCAAATCCATCCAGAGGCCTCAGAGGAAAGACCTGGCAGTCTCCTTCCAGGAGATCACAACCATTTAGAACCGTACAGAGCACAGTTCTACTCTGAAACACTTGGGGTTGCCATCTGAGTCAACCTGATGGCAACTGGTTTTGCTTTTTTTAATTGGCTATTAGATTGCTAAATAGAATTTTATGTACCTTTCAAGGAGCAAATATACCACAGTTCAAAATATGGATAGGCTATATGACTGTCATTCATTCAGTAAACATCTGTTGAATGCCTATTATTTGATTGGCTCTGGTAGCATAGTGGCTAAGACATTTGCCTGCTAACCAGACGGCTGGCGGTTCAAACCCGCCAGCCACTCCTCGGAAGGAAGGTTGGGCAATCCTACTTCTGTAGTGATACTGCCTCGGAAACCCAAGGAGGGGTCGCTATGAGTCGGGCCGACTCGACGGCACATAACAACAACAACAACAACAACAACTGTGCTAGATGGTAAAACAATGATAATTAAGCTTAGTCCTTACCCCTTGAGTGGCTCACATTGGGGTGGGAGGGGAGAATATAAGACACATCCCTGAATGGTTATAATTTAAGCACAGAATGTGGTAGGAGAGCACCTAATGTAGCTGAGAACCAGGGAGGCATTCTGAAGCAGGCAGCCTCAGGCATTCCGGCACTCCAGACCCCACTGTATTGGGATATTTGGACAAAGTCCTGGGAATTCCAGACTCTGAAACGTTCTTCCAGAGTTCACCAATTGGAGGTAGGAGGGGGCACATGGTTAGAAGCCAGCCCTAGACATGTTTGTTAGGCATAGGCAGCACTGGTCTGCAGAATTTTGATTTTTTCAGTATTGACTTCATGGAAAATATATGAAATTGAGAAATTTCATGTGGAAAAATCAAAAGTCTGCAATGGTGGACCTGTATCCTCATAGAGCAACAGTCAGAGCTAAGTAGGGGCTATCTATCTCCTTTGGACAGAGTCTTCACAGTCCTCTCTACTTCCTTATTATCCCCAGGACTGATGCCAAGCACCAGTTCCATAAATCATTTATAGTAGAAGTAAGAGGAAAGCAGTATCATTGACAGTCAACTGCTTCAATCGTTTTCCTAACTTACCTCGCTACTCTAGTCCTTTGAGTTTATGATCCCATATTAATATCATAGTTAAGTTCACATCAGCACTCACCAAACTTTCCTGGGGCTTTAGCAGACTAGAGACTGTAAGGAGGAAAATCAGGCAAAAGCTAGATGAGTGACAAGACCAGTAATTTATTGAGATTGAAAATGTATGTTTCCTTCCAGGAGTATGGCCTATGTGAGGAGTGGGGCTGCCTATACCCTATTCCAAGAGAACATTTAATCAGCCTACATCAAAAGCATCTTCTCTACCTTCTAGAAGGAGGATATTCTGAGAAAGCTCTGCAAGTAAGCTTCTGACTCTTCCCATTTCTTTTTTTGGGAAGCGAAAAGGTTAGTCAAAGCAGATGGCTTCTTTTCATGGTAAACCTTGTGCAAAGTATTTGTAGTCTCAGGTCTGCCCTTTCATGTCCTTTGGGAGCCTGTTGTACTAATCTGGACTGAAGGATGCCTAGCCCAGCATTAGGTGCCAGATGGGTATCTAGGTCCAGGAGTCTGCTGAACTCTGGTCCTGCCAAATCATTGGCACATTTGTGATGCTGCCAGGGTAAAAAAAATAGTGGAGAAAAGGAGTTAGTCCACATGTTTCTTTCTCAGATTAAACAAGGCTGGCCTAACGGGTCTTCTGCAGATCTTACCTTCCTCCTATACCCTTTTCCTTCAACAGCTCCTGCAAAGAATCCCTGACCCCACCATGTGCCTTGAAGTTACAGAGCAGTCCCTTGACCAGCACCCTAGCCTGGCCACTTCACACTTCTTGGCCAACTACCTCACCACCCACTTCTATGGAGAACTGACTGCTGCCCGGCACCATGAAATCCAGGCGCTGTACATGGGATCCAAGGTAGAAGGGGGTGGGGGAGTTGGAAAACATGTCTGAGGGAGAGACTTCTGGCCCAGCTACCACTTCACAACTTGCTTTTTCAATGGCTGTCCTGCTAGGGACCTGCCACCCTTGGCCTGGTACTTCTGTCCTATATAAAATCTTTCTCCTAGCAGCCTAACAGCCTAGTTGAGTCCTCCTCAGACTTGTCATTCTGTTATTTCCTGGCCTCCAAAGTGAATTTTCACCTTTTCTTCTTATGTTCTACTTAAGCTTTCCAAGGCATCTGCTCAGTCATTGCTTCCCAATTCTGGTCATGTATTAGAATGACCTGGACTTTTAGCAAATAGCCTCCACCCCACACCAATTGAAACTGAATCTCTTGGGTTGGGGTGTGGATATTTTCCAAAAGGATGAAAGGATTGGACACTACAGCTTAATAAATGAGTCTGTGCTAATAGACAAGGGTTAAATGTTTAGGTATTAGATGAGGTAATAGGTCCTTATCTGGATGTGTAACCTTGAAGACGCACCAGGAATTACAAGCTAGAAGTACTCCCAGTGAAGGGAACATTGAGAAAGAGGTGGAGCCTTTTGGCACTCTTCCAGTTATTCTCACTGGCCTCATGTATATCAAATAGTTCCATATACAAAACTAGTACTGAGAGCACTCAAGGACATGACCACTGACCCATTTACTAAGAGTTAACTAAATAAAGCATTCCTGAAGATAGACCTTTTTGGGTGTTTGTTTGTTTGGTTGGTTAGTTTTGCTTTTTGATACACTGCACTTAAGTAGAAGGATGCTTAAGGATAGTTATTGGCAATGAGCAGAACCAATGAGCATTTTTCAGGCAGAGTGATGATGCTCTCTAGAGGGTGTTCAGATTCATCATTTACCTGTGGGACACTGGAGGTGTCAGGTTTAGGCAGTTTACTGATAGCACCTTATATTGCTACTTCTGAGTGGAACCTCACATGGACAAAATGGTACCATTAAGAGTCAGGCAGAGCTTAGTCACTCTTGGAGGGTTTAGGCCAAGGGTCAGCAAACTATGGCCTGTGGGCCAAATCCAGTTCTTTGTCCAGGCTTTGTTAATCAGGTTTATTGGCACGGGTACACCCATACATTGTCTATAGCTGCCTTCATGCTAGATCATCAGAGTTGGATTTGAGATAAAGATCATATGGCCCACAAAGCCTAAATTATTTGCTCTCTGACCACACAGAATTGTGGTCCAGCCAAGTTGACAAACAGCTCCAGCTATCACACATCATTTCATTATAAATATTTCAGTATATGTGTCTAAAAGATAAGGACTTTTATCAAGCAAAGCCATAAAATCATTATCATATCTAAAAACAAATTGACAATGATTCCCTATTATTATCAAATAGCCAGTCAGTATTCAGATTTCCTCAGGTGTCTCATAAAGATTTCTTTTTTATTTATGTTTTATTGTGATTTATGTGAAAGTTTACAGAGCAAATTGGTTTTCCTTTCAACAGTCCATTCAGTCCTTACAGAAAAGCTTACCCACCCTTCCTCCAGGGTTAAGTACTAGGAGTACTTTTTGATCACCACATGGAGGAATTAGATGGGCAGTCAGCCTTGCTTCCTAAAAGGCTACTAGTCACTTTCACAGTTGCCTATGTGCCTTTTGGTCTGTAGTACTGCTCCACTTTTCAGTCAGAATGTCGAGTTTCTTTCTGCAATTTGTGGACTGTTTTCTTTACCCTGTGGATCCCTCGCACGAACAGGTTCTGCTCAGCCTGCCTGAGCAGCACCGGGCCAGCTACGCCCACTTGTCCTCCAGCCCCCTGCTCATGCTGGAGCAGCTGTTGATGAACATGAAAGTGGACTGGGCCACTGGGGCTGTGCACACCCTGCACCAGCTGCTGGCCGGGCAGGAGACTGACTTCACCATGGAGGAGATAGACTCGCTGCTTTCCAGATACGCAGCGAAAGCCTTGGACTTCCCATACCCTCTGAGGGAGAAACGATCAGGTAACTGCCAACAGAACACTGTTTCCCTTCGTCTGAGATGGGGGTTTTCATGGGGTAAGAAATACCATGTGCATTTCTTAGTTTTCATCTTTGCCTCTTTTATCATGTTGAATTGATTGAGAATGAAAAGAATATACTTCAGGAAAAATAGTTCTTTATTGTATAGGAGAGATCTTGGACTTCCAGGAAGTAGCAGGCTAACCAGAATTAAAGAGTGGTAGATAACCACTAAGGAGCCCTAGTGGCACAAACAGTAAAGTGCTCAGCTGTTAACCAAAAGGTTGAGAATTTGAAGCTGCCCAGCAGCTCCATAAGAGAAAGACCAGGCAGTCTGGTCCCATGAAGACTGTTGTTGTTAGGTGCATTGAGTTGGTTCCTACTTGTAGCGACGCTGTGTACAACAGAGGGAAACACTGCCCAGGCTTATGCCATGCTCAACAATCATTGCCATGTTTGAGTCAATTCTTGTAGCCACTGTGTCAGTCCATCTTATTGAAGAGCTTCCTCTTTTTCACTGACCCTCTACCTTACCAAGTGTGATAACCTTCTGCAGTGACTAGTCCCTCCTGATAACATATCCAAAGTACTGAGACAAAATCTAACCATCTTAGCTTCTAAGAATGAGCAAATCTGTCTTGGAAGCAGTATAGCCAAGAAGGCTTCTTAGAAGCAGAGTCACGGATTGACAAACTGCGAAGGCAACAGGCTTTTACGAAATGACTAACTCAGCTAATAAAGATGTTTATCGTAAAACAGTGTTGTGTCAGCATTGTCTCTCTCCACAGATTCTGTGATTCACCTCCAGGAAATTGTCAGTCAGGGTTCAGACCCTGAGACCTTGACCAGATCACAGTCAGCAGAGCTCTCTTCTGCTCCTCCTTCTGGTAAGCATAGGTTCTGGGAATTACCCATTATTTGGTTCAAGCTTGCCTAATGCTGGGTTTCTGATTCTTTTGCCTCCGTTTTCATTTCTAGATACAGTATTCTAACTAATTACTATTTCTTGGTTTGTTCCACCTTTGTATATTCCAGAGAATTCAACACATTCAGTCCTTACGTTCATTCTGCCTCCTGCATCGTAGTTAATTATTTTATCTGTCACCCACACAGGGTACAAGCTCCTTGAGGGCCTCTGCTATATCCTGCTCACCCTTTCACCACCCTTCCTCTTCCCTGGCCTCCAGCCCCTCACACAATGGCTTATGCCCAGAAGAAACTCAGCAAGTGTTTATTTTGCCAAATGGCCAGGGCAGCAGGATTCTGGACTCAGATCTGTAAACTTTCTTCTTCTGTGTCCTGCTAAGAGTCACGGTGTTTCTCAATTTTCTTTTTCTGTGAGCTGCCTGCATTGCTAGGTGATTAAAAAAAAAATCTCCCTAGATGCCGTAAAGCAAAGACTGGTATTTTACGACCATACTTTGAGAAGTAGCCATGCTTCATGGTTAACCGGCAGACCTGAGGAGGTGATCAGACTTACAAGTATATGAGCAGTTTCACACATCTGGATAAAGTAGCCTGAGCAACTTTGGGTTTTTTCTAGCTGCTTCTTATGGAAAATTTACAATACACTAAAATACAAAGACTCATTAATGAAGCCTCACATACCCACAGTCCATCTACAGTAATTATCATCTCATGATGACTGTTCTTGTTCTGTATATACTCCATCCTGCTACTGGAGTATTTTGAAGCAAATCCTATATACATCATGTGTTAGGCTGGGTTCTCTAGAGAAGCAAAACCAGTAAAGCTTATATATACATATAGAAAAAGAGAAATTTATCTTAGGAAAATGGCTCACACACTTAATGAAGCTGGCAAGTCCCAAGTTCTTGGATCAAACATCAAGCTTTTGGCTTTTCCTGACTCATGCAGCTGCAGGGGCTGACAAGCTCAAGGTTGGCAGGCAGTATACCGGCTGTTGACTCCAACGAATGAGGAATCCAAGATCTCCAGGCCGAATGGTGGATTGTTAGCTCAGGGTTGGTTGTAGACAGCACAAGATCCTGATCCACGTAAGAGTCTCTTTTCCCAGGATGTCCATAAATACATTGGAAGCAGGCCACACCCCTAGGGAAACTCCCTTTCAATGGATTGGCTGCTCAAAACATGTACATCCAATCCCATCATGAGAATAACCCACATCACAATCGCTTAAACCACACAGAATTGTGGTCCAGCCAAGTTGACAAACAGCCAACTATCACACATCATTTCATTATAAATATTTCAGTATGTGTCTAAAAGATAAGGACTTTTATCAAGCAAAGCCATAAAATCATTATATCTAAAAATAAATTGACAATGATTCCTTATTATTATCAAATAGCCAGTCAGTATTCAGATTTCCTCAGTTGTCTCATAAAGATTTCTTTTTTATTTATGTTTTATTGTGATTTATGTGAAAATTTACAGAGCAAATTGGTTTTCCTTTCAACAATCCATACACACTCTGTTTTGTGACATTTACTGTGATCTCCACACTGTAGCAGCATTCTTCCCCCCTCCTCCCTATACCCACCACTTCCCTTCATCCTTCTCTTCCCATCCCTTCCCACCTTCCTAGCTCTATCCCTGGGCAGATGCCATCCTCTTGATCTCAAATGCTTGATTGTTCTAATGAGTGCATATCCTCCTGATACTACTGTTCACCTTATAGGCTTGCCTATCATCTGGCTGATAGTAGAGTCATGGGGCTTAAGTTCAGTGCCTAGCTTGAAGGGTGGCTAAGGGCCATCATCTCAGGGGTTCTACCAGTCTTTATCAGATGAGTAAGCCTGGTCTTTTTAATGATTTTAAGTTTTGTTGCACGTTTTTCCCCACTCTCACTGGGACTTCTTATTGTGATCCCTTTCAGAGTGGTCGTCAGTGGTAGCCAGGCACTATCTAGTTCTTCTGGTCTCAGGATTGTGGAGGCTGGGGTTCACATGCTCCATTAGTCCTTTGAAGTAATTATTTCCTTGTGTCTTTGATTTTCTTCACTCTCCTTTGCCCTAGATGGGGAGAAACTTTAATGGTTGCACCTTAAATGGGTGCTCACAAGCTTTTAAGAGCCCAATCACTGCTGACCAAAGTAGGATGTGAAACCTTTGTCTTTATGGACTGTGTTATGTCAGTTGACCTTAGTGTCCCCCAAGACTATGATCCTCAGCCTCCATTCCCAGGGACTCATTCTCTCAGCATGTTTGGTTGTGACTAAGATTTTTCATAAATATGTTCCCTGTATATTCTACTACATTCATGGATATATTTGAAGTACATATAAATACATAGATAAGGATCACCTCTGTCAAACATATATATATATATTTTTTTTTCATGGGTGTAGTCCCATTTGTCTTCCCACCTCTGTCCAAATTGAGTGTCTGTCTATGTATCTGCTCATAAATTATTACTGTCACTGCAGGATTTTGTATGTAATGGGATTCACCTTTGTTGCCTTTAACTCTTGTGCTCCTCCCTGTGTTTTACACTGCATTAATCATTTTGCACTTACCTAGCCATTACTGTATATTGCCTTTCCCTTCACCCAAGTTAATACATGTTTGGTTAGCAGTCAAAATGCCTTAGGTACTATGCCACCAGCGCTCCTTTTTTTGTTGTTGTTGTTGTGCCCTCTAGTTAGTGATTTTCCCTCTTTTCCCCTTCTACCCATGGAAACCTTCAAAGAGCAATTCTTTCTGTGTGTAAACCTTTTGTTAACTTTTTACAGTAGTGGTCTCATACAATAATTGTCCTTTTGTTATTGATGAATTTCACTCAGCATAATGTCCTCTAGGTTCATCCATGTTATAAGGTGTTTCGCAGATTTGTCACTGTCCTTTAACATTGCATAGTATCCCATTGTGTTTATGTACCGTAGTTTGTTTATCCATTCATTCATTGATGGGTGCTTAAGTTGTTCCCATCTTTTTACTATGAATAATGCTGCGATGAACACAGATGTGTATATCTGTTCATATCATGGCTTTTACTTCTATAGGATACATACCTAGTAGTGGGATTGCTGGATCATATGGTATTTCTATTTCCAACTTCTTAAGGAAGCACCATACTGTTTTCCACAGTGATTGTACCATTTCACAGTCCCACCAGCAGTGTATGATGGTTCTAGTCTCTTCATACCCTTGCCAGCATTTGTCGTTTTCTTTTTTTTTTTGGACTTTGCTGTTAATGCTGGGGTGAGATGATATCTCATTGTTGTTTTGATTTGCATCTCTCTAATGGCTAATGATTGCGATCATTTCTTCATGTATTTGTTAGCTGCTTGAATAAGACATTATATGAAGCATCTGTCATGTCTCCTGCCCAATTTTTAATTGGATTGTTTGTCTTTTTTTTTTTTATTATTGAGGTGTTGAATAGTTCTATAAATTTTAGAGATTGGTCCCTTGTCTCATGTATCATTGCAAAAATTTTTTCCCAGTCTGTAAGATCTCTTTACACTCTTTGGGTAAAGTCTTTTGATGCACATAAATGTTTAATTTTTAGAAGGTCTCAGTCATCTAGTTTTTCTTCTGTTGTTTATGTATTTTTAGTTATGTTTGATAGTATATTTATGCCATGTATTAGGGCCCCTAAGTTTGTCCCTATGTTTTCTTTGATCATTTTTATGGTTTGGGTTTTACTTTTAGGTCTTCAATCCATCTTACATTAGTTGTTGTATATGGAGTGAGATATGAATCCTGTTTCATTTTCCTGCAAATGGATATCCAGTTTTACCAGCACTATTTGTTAGAGATTGTCTCTGAAATAGGACCAAATGCGGGTCCCTGCCCAGTGTGCAGTCAGGCCAAAACAGTTTACACACCCAGTGATTAAGAGGAGAAAAAATTATTTATTGCAAAGAGGAAATGCAAGGAGGCAGGGGTACCCATACCCAGATCTGACTCCCCGAAATGCCATTGAATTACAGTTTTGTAGGTTTGAGAAGAGAAGGTTATGCATATTCATAAAAATTTCAGGAATTTGGGCGTGAAATAGATGGTTGAGGATTGGCTGAAATTTCCTTCACCTCTGTTTAAAGGGACAGTAGCATTTTGAGCCAGTGCACTTACAAACAGGATGAGTCAGATGGCTTCCTGTCATCAGCTGGTTGGGGCTTAGGCAGAGGGGAGAGTGTTAGTTCCCAGTAACTTTGTTCCTCTCTTTCCCACTGCGCACGTCTGTGGGCCAGAGTTAATTTTCATGTTGTTTTCTAAGACACATTAATGCGTTTATCACCTGTGCCTAAGGAAATAGCAGGAAAGAATGTTTTTTGTTCCATTCACTTCTTAAGGAACTGAGCTTATTGTATTTATTCATCTGTCTTCAGCTGTTTACTCATCTGTCTCCAAGCGGGGTCCTAGTAGTCTTAACCAGGGTGGGGAAATAGTTGAGGGTAATTATGTTTACTTATTTATTCCCAACTGGGGTCCTGTCTGTTCTGATTATCTGCCTTGACCAGGGTGGGGGAAATATTCAAGTTTTTACTTTACTCGGTTTCATCTCTTCCTTATGTAATGAGTTTTGGCACTTTGTCAGAGATCAACTGACTATAGGTGGATGGGTTTACTTCTGGGTTCTCAGTTCTGTTCCATTGGTCTATGTGTCTGTCATTGTACCAATACCACCTATTTTGACTACTGTGGCTGTGTAGTAGGTTTTGAGATCAGAGAGTATAAAGCCATCTACCCATAAAGATTTCTTTACAGTTGGTTTTTCTAGAAACAAGATCTAAATAATTTCCAGCATGATATTTGACAGAAATATCTCTTATGTCTCTTTTAATCAATAGGTTCCCTTACCTTTTTTTCTCTTTTAAATCTCTCTCTCGATTTGTGAGGGAAACGAAGTCATTTGTAGAGTTTCCCACATCCTGGATTTTGCTGATTGCCTCCCTGTGGTAATCTGGGCCTCTGTTCCCTGTATTTCCAGTAAACTGGTAGCTAGATATATCAGGCTTGACTTGATTCAGGCATGATATTTTTTGGTTAAGTATACATGATAAGTGGTGCTGTGTGTTTCCATTGGGAGGTACACAAGGTCTAGTTGTCTCTCTTTTATGATGCAAACAGCCATTGATGAGCTTTCATTTGATCCATTATTTCAGGAGGGGTTTGCAAACTGGTGATAACTAATTCTGCCATTCCATTTCAATGTACTCGTTGGAATATTTGTCAGCTTTTGTTCTTATCTCTGGCTCTGATCTCCAGGTATCTCCACTGTACATTCCCCAAGCCCAAAGGAGAGGAGTTTCCCACAGAGTGAGCCCCCACTGGAATTTGTACCCCCAGCAACACCCCCTGCTAGGCACCAGTGGGTACCAGATGAGACTGAGAGCATCTGCATGGTCTGCCGCAGAGAACACTTCACCATGGTGAGCAGCAAATGTTTCTAGCTTTACCAGCAAGAGAAGTTCATAAGAATATTGGTATTTTCGGAACAATCAAACTAAGACTTTGGGCTTATCTTCAACCTCCCTATAGGTTTCTGGATTCAGACAAGTGGTAAATGCCCTCAAAACCCAAAAACCCACTGAGTCAATTCCAACTCATAGCAACCCCCATTGGGTTTCTAAGGCTGTAAATCTTTACAAAAGTAGCTTGCCTCATCTTCTTCCCACAGAGCAGCTGATGGGTTTGAACCACTGACCTTCCGGTTAGCAACCAAATGCCTTACCCACTATGCTACCAGAGCTCCTTACTTATAAACCAGTTGCCATTGAGTCAATTCCAACTCAAGGCAACCCCATGTGTTTCAGCAGAGAACTGTAGCTCCATAGGATTTTCAGTGGTTGTGATCTTTCAGAAGTAGATTGCCAGGCCTTTCTTTCAAAGCACCACTAAGCAGATTCAAATTGCCAGCCTTTCAGTTAGTAGCTGAGTGCTTAACTGTTTACACCACTCATGGAGCTGTCAGGACTTAATACTATAACAAGTGTTAGCACAGTTAACATACTATGCTAACTCACTGGCATATTAACTCGGTGCTGATGACAGTGATCATTATATAACGTCTCTGCTTCTGTTTCCTCCTCGTCTGTGGAAGAGGTGTAATACTTCGTCAACCACACAGGATTCTTCTAATGCAATGAAGCAGTACTTTTAAAAGCGCTTTGAAAAATGGCACATTTTCATTATCATCATCACCAATACCATATAGAAAAGGGATCCTCATTGGCTGAGATAGTCACTTCTGCCCATTATTTTTTGTTGTTTCTTCACACATTGCCTCCACAGGCTGGAAGAACTTGTTCCAGGAGCTATTGCAAAGCTGCCAGTGACATGGCCAACTTTTGCCTGTCAACTGAGAAATAACTTAAAATGTCAGCTTCTTGAGGGCAAGGACTGCTGTGCTGTCTTGCCATGGAGGCCCATATCCCTTGTGTTCTTCATTACATAGTATGCCACAGGTGGCTAATACCAAGTATGAATGGGTTGATGACAGGTATACTCACAGTTCCTGTAATCTCTTCTTCTCTTCTTCTCTCTTCCTTATCTTCCCGACACCCCTCAGTTTAACAGGCGTCATCACTGTCGCCGCTGTGGTCGGCTAGTATGTAGTTCCTGCTCCACTAAGAAAATGGTGGTGGAAGGCTGCAGAGAGAACCCTGCGCGTGTGTGTGACCAGTGCTATAGTTACTACAACAAAGAGTAAGTGTCGTGGGGCACAGCTGCTGCTCTAGTTGACCACTACACCTTCCTTACACTCCTGGGATAATGACACAGACTTTTTTTTTTTTTTTTTTACTACAAAGTGACATATTTATTAGGAAAAATGAATGTTTCTTAAATTTTTATTGTGATTTGCATCAAAGTTTACAAAGAAAATTCATTTTCCATATAGCATTTCATACACATTTTGTCTCATGACATTGACTGTAATTCCCCACAATGTAACAGCTCTCTTCCCACTTCCTCCCCAGTTACCTCTTCCCCGTGTCCTTTCCTCCCTTGCATTCCTGCCCTCCCAAGCTGTCTCCTTGTGCATACACTGCCCTTCTGTTCTCCCAGGATTATCTCTCCAAGCAGAATGACATGAACTTTTAACTTACCACATTCACACTGAAATGTTATTGGTGCTTTAGTGAAATGTTTACAGACTGACCTTAGTCAGAGAAACTGTTAAGGAAGTAGGAATGAGAGGAAGCTGTGTTTAGTGTTTAAGACTCTTACCTGATATTCTCTCTGAGATCAGGATACTTGCTTCTCAGCGCTTCCCCTGACTCAGGCCATAGATCAACAACAACCTCACCTATTTTGCAGCCACCCTTGCTTCAGTTGGGCCCAGCTGGACTCAAAGGCCCATGTCCAAACCCACTGAATGTTTAGGCCAGATCACAAAGGGTTTTTCCTACTGAATTAGGAGTGTGGGATTTTTTTTTTTCTCTTGAAAGAGCTACCAGAGCATTTTAAGCATGAGCGTAACATGACCAGATTTGCATTTTAGGAAACCGTAGCTACAAAGTAGAGAATAAGTTGACAGAATTAGGGAGGCCAATTGGGAAGCTGTTGCAGAGATTCTAGCAATAAATAAATGCTAAAGGCTCTCACTAAGGCAGGAATGGAGAGAGAGTTGGAGATTTATAAGATGGTATGGACAGGACCTGATGAATGATTAGTGGTGATTGAGAGGGTCTAGGATAATTCTCTAATATCTTAGGAAACAGAGTCAATGTCAGTGCTGTTCACTACTTGGAAATACAAAGAGGATGAGGAGTGATTCGGGCATTTAATTCTTCTCTCTCTGTTTTCCAGTGTGCCAGAGGAGAATCCAGGACACTCAGAAGGTGAGACTGAATCACATTCTGTGAGACTGTTTATATGCTAAAGTCAGCAACTGATATGCTCGACTTTTTTGTCAAAGAAAATTGTTGGCATTTCTATCAACCTGTTTTCCTTAAAGGATATCATGTTAATTGATCCCATCAGCCATTAGCTCCTAGCATTGTGAAAGCCAGCAACCAATGGAAGGCCATTCATCCCAGTTAACTGGCCTAATAACGTGGTTAGTGCTTCTGTTCTACTTCTTAGTTCACTGTGTAATGCCTGTTGTTGTTGTTGTTGTTAATGTGCCAACAAGTCAGACGTGACTCGTAACGACCCCTCCTTGAGTTTCTGAAGCAGTATCACTATGGAAGTAGATTGCCCCATCTTCCTTCCAAGGAATGGCTGGTGGGTTCTGAAGCAGTATCACTATGGAAGTAGATTGCCCCATCTTCCTTCCAAGGAATGGCTGGTGGGTTCTGAAGCAGTATCACTATGGAAGTAGATTGCCCCATCTTCCTTCCAAGGAATGGCTGGTGGGTTTGAACCACCAGCCTTCTTGTTAGCAGTCAAATGCCTTAGGCACTATGCTACTAGGGTCTTAAAAGCTTGCAAGTAGCCATCCAAGGCATGACAGTTTGTTTCTGTTTGCCTGGAGCAACAGAGAAAGGAGAGTCAGGAACAGGAGGAAGATAAGGAATGTCTGATTAATTGCCTCCATAAATAACTGCCTCCTTCCATGAGATCAGAACTGAATAGTGCCCAGCCGTCCTTACTGAATGTTTTGATCAAAGATTCTGTAGAAGACTCCTAATCAGAAGTGGGGAAATGCAGAACAGAATTAAAATGCTCAAAGACACCACACTTTCTGGAGCCAAAGGGGCTGAATGAACCACCAGAATGAACCCTGAGATCTTTAAATCTTAAACCAAAAATATCCCCTGAAGTCTTCTTAAAAGCAATTAGTACTTTAGCTTAACTAATAAAAAATGTCTACCTTGAGCATTACGCTCTTTCAAGAACTATCTATAGGGGATCAAATTGACAATAGCAACTTGAAAAATTAGATAGGATCATTAGGGGGCAGGGAGTTTTGTTAACGGAAGAACGACGACTCAGAAAAGGAGAGTGGTTGTAGAAGAACCTACCGAGAGAATGGAGAGAATAGTTGTATAACTTGAAAAATGTAATCAGTGACACTGAACTCTGCACGTGGAAACAGATTGGATTGGTGTTTACTTTGTTGTGTATATTGTCGTCAACAATAACAACAGAATAAAATTTAAAAGTCCTAAACTTTTAGTAGGTTATTTCTTGTTTATTTTAATTCCTAGGTTCCTCATCTTACCACCCAGTACTCCTTCTTCCTTCTGTTGTTGTTGTTGTTATTTGCTGTCGAGTCGGCCCCGACTCATAGCGACCCCTCCTTGGGTTTCCGAGGCAGTATCACTACGGAAGTAGGATTGCCCAGCCTTCCTTCCGAGGAGTGGTTGGTGGATTTGAACTGCCGGCCTTCTGGTTAGCAGTCAAGTGCTTTAGCCACTATGCTACCAGAGCTCCCTCTTCCTTCTAGAAAGCCAATATTAATAATTTGGCCTATATCCTTCACAACAAGTTATTTCTTAGCATACCAGTCATTGAGCCCTCCATTTGTAAAGGATTTCTGGTGTGAAGCCCCAGGGTTGTGTGACAAACATTGTAATGCTCATCCTAGGTCGATGCCTGGGTAAAATGTTTGATATGCCTAATGGGGTCTCAAAGGAGCTATGGTAGCATAGTGGCTAAGGCATTTGACTGCTAACCAGAAGGCTGGAGGTTCAAACCCGCCAGCCACTCCTCGGAAGGAAGATGGGGCAATCTACTTCTGTAGTGATACTACCTCGGAAACCCAAGGAGGGGTCGCTGTGAGTCAGGGCTGACTTGATGGCAGATAACAAGAACAACAATGGGGTTTCCTAAAGGAACTAAAAAAACCAAGGAGAGAGAAAGGGAACACTAAGATCGTATTTATCTGCAGCTCACACCAACTCATTGGACTGGGCTACACTGGGCTACCAGCCAGTGATTGACAGATAATTGGAGCTTCTCTTCTCAGCACCAGACAGCTCCAAGAGTGAAAGCCCTCCATACTCAGCGGTGGTGAAAGTCCCCAAAGCTGCTGAGCTGGAATGGACTTTGGATCTGAACGAGGAGGAAAATGAGCTGGTGCGGAGTGAATTTTACTATGAGCAGGTAATAGCAGTAAAATGTAACAGTCATTCCAGTGCCCTCATGATGTATATAAAAGAGTCCCTAGATGGCACAGACTGTTAAACCGCCAACTGCTAACTGAAAGATTGGAGGTTCAGACCCTCCCAAAGGTATCTCGGAAGACAGCCCTGGCAGTCTGCTTCCAAAACGCCACAGCCTTGGAAGCCTGATGGAGTGTGGTTCTGTTCCACACACATGGGGTCACTGTGTCAGAATTGACTCCACAGCAACCGTAAGTGATGTACAAAGCATGGAAGGACAGTTAGAGATACGTGAACACAGCCTGAGACATGTAAATAACTGTAAGACAGAAAAAGAGGAACATCTTGGACAATATACAAGGCAAGTGAGTGTCACAGGTCAGAGGGAATCAGGGAAGGCTTCGTGGAAGGGCCAGCATTTAAGATGTGCCTTAGAAGAGTGGTAGCATTTCCACAAGCAAAGATTTGGAGCTGTGAGGGAAGTGATGATGGCAAGGTACAAAACTAAAGCATCAGTGCGAAGGCACAGTGGCAGAACATTGCAGGGGATGGTTGAGGAGTTTCATGAAATTGATAGTGAAACAGCAGATTGAAAAGGGCTTCACATACAAGGCCTTGAATTCTGGGCTAAGTAATGTGTGCATGGTGGGCTCAGGGCCTACGAAAGATTTCTGAGCAAAGAACTAGAATGATAGGAGATGAACTTCAGGACTTAGCAGCAGTATATCCAGAGGCTTGAAGCAGAGACTCCTCCAGGGGGTCAAACAGCAAAGTGGCTGTCATAGTCCAAGCCAACAAGGAGGGCCTATCAACAGCCTCAGAAAGTAGGCAACACATGGACACAGCCACCTTCTTAGTAAGCTGACAAAACCTAGCAGCCAGAGCTTTGACAGTGCTTTTTAGCATGTCTGAGTTTGTTTAGTTCACTTCTGCTTTGCTGTGGCATTTTTAGCTCCTTGCATCAGTGAAACGGGAAAACATTCTTGCTACTCTGCAGCATTTGAAGAATGCTTAGCTCCCTGAGCTTGCTGTGTCTGTCTCTCTCCTCCCACTCTGGCCAGGCCCCCAGCGCCTCCCTGTGCATTACCATCCTGAATCTGCACCGAGACAGCACTGCCTGTGGCCACCAGCTGATTGAACACTGCTGCAGGCTGTCCCAGGGCCTCACCAACCCAGAGGTGGATGCGGGGCTGCTCACAGACATCATGAAGCAACTGCTCTTCAGTGCCAAGATGATGTTCGTCAGGGCCGGCCGAAGCCAGGACTTGGCTCTTTGTGACAGGTATGTGTAAATAGTCTCAATTACTCTTACACAGTAGTAATTTCTACCCGTGGAGCCCTGGTGGTGTGGTTAAGTGCTCAGCTGCAAACCGAAAAGTCATAGTTCGGACCGACGAGCAGCTCCACGGGGAGAAAAGACTGGCAGTCTGCTCCCATAAACATTATAGGCTAGGAAACCCTGTGGGGCAGTCATGTGGGATCACTATGAATCGATTCACCAGCACACGCAGCAAGAACAACAGTTTCTATCCAGCTGCTTTTTCTGACCCTACTGTGACTTTTCATCTCATAACCTTCCCTGACAATACATCCTAAAATGTCTTAGTCTCAGTCTGATGATGATCCCAGGTGGTCTTCCTTCACTCTAACTGGACAGGCTGTGTATCATTCTCTTCCCCAGAGAGGATCCTCAAAGCAAAGCTTTCTCTCGTTATAGCTAGTCAGAAAAAAAGTAAAGACTTTGGTTAATTTGTAATTAGAAACAATTTAGGCGAGCACTTTCTGGCTTGGAAATAAATATCCGATGTCTGATGCTTAAGCTTCACCAAAACTACAACTCAGTCTTGACAAAATTAATACTGTGACCTCAAGGAGTGCAATTTATAAGTAAAGAAATAAATATATTATATATTGTTCTGGTTACCTAGTGCTACTCTGACAAGAATATACCACAAATGGGATGGCTTGAACAAACAGGAGTTTATTCTCTTAGTTGGAGGCTTTAAGTCCAAGTTCAAAGTGCCAGGCCCTAGGGGCTGGGTGAAAACCCCTCAACCTTGGGGTTGAGGAGCCTCCTGCTCCCAGCCCACTGAAACTAGAAGCATTTCTTCACTCAGGAAGCTACTGGCTGCTGAGGCTGACAAACCCAAGGTTGACAGGTAAAAAGGCACAGTCCTGATGTTACCAAACCACATGGCAGGCAATTAATTTAAGTCTATTGTAAGTCCCAGTTACGCCAAGAGATTTGGAGGACAGCTACCTGGCCAACTGACTGGAAGAGATCCATATTTGTGCCCATTCCGAAGAAAGGTGATCCCACAGAATGTAGA